GGGTTAGCCTGGTGATGGGTATTAAAGAGGGCACGGATTGAATGGAGCACTGGGTGTTATACGCAAACAATGAATCATGGATCACTACATCAAAAACTAATGATGTAATGAATGGTGATTAACATAACATAATAAAATTAAAAAATAAAATAAATCTGGGCTGGCCTTGATGACATGTTTGTAATCAATAAAATGAAGCAGAAGTGACACTGTAATGTTGGAAGCTAGACAACATCTGCCTGTTTTTTTGTTTGTTTTGTTTGTTAGATTTATTTATTTATTTGAGAGAGAGAGCACGAGCGGGAGGGACAGAGGGAGAGAGGATCTCAGCAGACTCTGTGCTGAGCACAGAGCCTGATGTGGGACTTGATCTCACAACCCTGAGATCACGACCTGAGCCAAAACCAAGAGTTGAACGCTTAACTAACTGAGCCACCCAGGCACCCCTCCCTGGTTTTCTTGGAATGCTTTCTGTGCCACCAGGTAAGAAGTTCAAGTCCCCTGCTAGGCCACATGTAGCTGCCCTGGTAGACAGTCTTGACTGAGCTCACAGGTGATAGGCAGTATCAACTGCTCAGAGCCTGGTGGATGCTTCATTTTGACAACCACAGCCCCGCGGAGCTCGTGGAGGACGGCAGCACAACCCTCTGAGTGCAACCGCAGGACAACCTTCAAATGAGAAGTGTCCAGCCAAACCCTTCCCCAATTCCTGACCTATAAAAGTGAGAGCAGGATAAAATGGTACTTTAAAACCACAAACTGTTGAGGTCATTTGTTACATAGCAATAGTAACTAGTACATATGTTTGCTTGGGTAATTTGTTCTAACCTCAAAGAGATGCCTAGTACATTTTCCAAGGGTGGAATAGATGGGATCTGAATAGTTTTGTATTTTAAAAAACTTTCTTCTGATACATTCCTGACCTCTCATAGAACTCCGAACTAGATACAATGACTGGATGAATGGATTTCTGAGCACAGTCTAGATCTCTCTGGTTCCAAAATTTAATTTGGGAACTATAGATCAGATCTTGTTAAATCAACCTTATAGAAACTGTATGGATATTTTGTAATACTGAAATTCTGTAGTTTTGCCTTTTTTTTTTTTTTTTTTACATAGGTGGCCTTGACATTTTTGTTTCATTAAACTGAACTTTTACTTATTATTTCTATCTGAAGTTGGATCAAAGGAGAAAAAAAATGAAGGGGGGCGAGATGATGATAAAAAGTGGGGGCAGGACCTTCTTTCTATCAGTGATGATGGGAACACTGTGTTTTTTCTGAGAGGCAGTTAAAGGTCAGTGTTCCTTTCTCAGGCTCTCCGCAGTTTGACTGATTCAAACTGAGAACGTGGGCTTGAAAGATTAGTGTGGGAAAGGAGAGCACTGAGGCACAGCTGAAGCTGAGACATATCCCAGGAAGCAGAGCCCGAGACAAAGACCTAAAACGAAGTATTTTGCTGGGGAGTGTGAGCCCCTGGAGAAAAGCAAGGAAGAGGGGTACAGGCAGAGAAGGATACAGGGAGGTGGTCCCCAACAGCGCCACCGCAGGGGCTGAATGTGTCTTTGGTTCCACAGAACCATTAACCTGAAGGGGAGAAGGGGGAGACATTTATCCCTGGCTCCCAGGTCCCTCAGTCAAAAGTTCACCCCAGCAGCCTTACCTCCCCAGCTCTTCTGGGTTCTGCACAGTTGGACAGGGAGCAGTTTCTCATGGCACCCCATGCTCCAGCACTGGAGAAGCCCTGGGGACAGAAGGGAGAAGCACGTGATGCATGGCTGTGGGGAGGCCATTAGGTCTAGATGGTGAATCCAGTCTCTATCACAAAGATCTAACATTCCTGTTATTGGAGACCCAAAAGGAGGGTAAAAAGAAGACAGGGCCTGAAAAAGTACTTCAAGGAAACAGTGACTGAAAACTCCCCCAGTATTGCAAAATTACGTAAACCTACAGATTCAGGAAGCCGAGTCTACTCCAAGCAGGGTAAACCTAAAGAAATCACACCATTTACATGATAGTCAAGCTTCTGAAAACCACAAAGTCTTGAAAGCAGGGAGAGAGAAATACCACCTTAACGATAGGGGGGGAACAATTTGAAGGTCAGCAAACACACACACAGGGCTGCCACTAAAAAGCTATACAAACAGACACACTTAAAACACTACAGATAGATCAAAATAGAATTCTAAAGAATACTGAAGAAACCCCACAGAATAGCAGGAAAAAGAAAGAAAACAGAGAACTGGGCACAAAAAATGAAATGGCTGACTTAGGCCCCAGCACATGAATAATTGTAAAATATAAATGGTCTAAATACACCAATTAAAAAACAGAGATTTGGCAGAGTGGGTTAAAAACAGCCCCACCATATGTATTTATAAGAATCTCCCTTTATTTTTTTTTTAAGAATTTATTTATTTTTGAGAGAGAGCACAAGTGGAGGGGTGGGAGAAAGGGAGAAGCAGACTCCCCACTGATTTGGGACTCAATCCCAGGACCCTGGGATCATGACCTGAGCCGAAGGTGGATGCTTAACCGACTGAGCCACCCAGGTGCCCAACAATCTCCCTTTAGATATACAATGTAGGCAGCCCAAGAGTAAAAGGAGAGAAAAAAATTTATTTGTGCAAACAATCAAAAGAAAGCTGCAGTGGCTACAGATCAGGGAGACAACTCAGAACAAAGAAAATTTCCAGAGACAGACAGTGACTTGATATCATAATAAAAGGGTCAATCCATCAAGAAGACATAGGAAGCCTAAATGTGTATGATCCAAACAACAGAGCTTCAGAATGTGCGGCTAGAACTGAGAGGAGAAATAAACAACACCCCGATTACAGCTGGAAATTTCAACACCTCTCTCAAAATTGATAGAACAACTGGATAGGAAATCAGCAAGGCTGTAGAAGGACTCAACAATACCATCAACCCACAGGATCTAATTGACATTTATAGAATTTCACCCAACAAAGCACAATAAACTTTCTTTTCAAGTGCCCACAAGATATACCTACATAGACCATATCCTAGGTCCTAAAACAAATCTCAATAAATTTAAAAGAATATAAACCATAGAATGTGTTCTGCAATCACAATGGACTCAAGCTAGAAATTGATAGCAAAAAGAATAAGTATGTCTCCTGCAAAAGGAGATTGGCAACACATTTATAAATAACCCATGTATTAAAGAGGAAGTCTCAAGGGAAATTTAAGAAATTGAACTGAAGGACAATAAAAATACATTATTTTAGTAACAATAAAAATGAGCTGAATGAAAATTAAAATACAAATTTTAATAGCATGTTACAATTTGTAGGACACAGCTAAGGCAGAGTGGAGGGGAAATTTATAGTTATGCATAGGTTAGAAAAGTGGAAAATTCTCAGATCAATCATCTAACCTCTCACCTCAAGACCTAGTAAAAGAAGAACAAAATAAATCCACAGCATGCAGGAAAGAGGAAGGAAAGAGATTAGAGCAGAAATCAATGAAATTGAAAACAAAAATAATAGAGAAAAATCAATGAAAAAAAGAGCTGATTCTTTGAAAAGATCAATAAAGTTGACAAACCTCTGAAAAGACTGACAAAGGGGAAAAAAAGACATAAATGATCAGTATCAGGAATGAAATGGGATATCTTTACAGACCCTGTGGGCATCAAAAGGGTAATAAGGGAATACTATGAATAACTCTATATACATAAATCTGACAACACAGATGAAATAGACCAATTCCTTGAAAAACACAAACTACAAAAAAATAAATACATAAATAAATAAATAAGAAAAACACAAACTACCACAACTTACCCAGTATGAAATAGATCATTTGAATAGCTCTGTGACTGTTAACCCTATGCATATGTAATTAAAAATCACCCCCAAAAGAAATCTTCAGACCCACATGGTTTCACTGGAAACCTCCCGTCAAGATCCTTAACTTAATCACATCTTTTGTCATTTAAGGTACTATTACTTTTTTGCCATCTAAGGGGATATTCGTGGGTTCTGGGGATTAGGTTGTGATCATATCTTTTTGGGGGCCACCATTCAGCCTACTACATATAGCCACAGTAATCAAGATTGTGTGGTGAAGGGATAGACAAAGAGATTAATCAGAATATAGATGCAGAAAATGGACCCACACAAACATGTCCAACTGATTTTTTTTTAAGTGCAAAAATAATTCAATGGAGGCAAGATAGCCTTTTCAACAAATGGTGCTGGAGCATTAGGACATCCATAGGCAAAAAAAAAAAAAAAAAAAAGAACTTTGATCTAATTTTCACACCTTACAAAAAATTAACTAAAAATGGATCTTGTCCTTAAATGTAAAATGTAAAGCTATAAAACTTATAGCAAAAAACATAAGAGAAATTCCTTGGGAACTAGGAGAAGGAAAAAAATTCTTGGACTCTACACCAAAAACACAATCTGTAAGAGGAAAAAAAAAATCAATAAGTAGGACTTCATCAAAATTAGAAACTTCCTCTGTGACAGATCCTGGATGAAGAGAGAAGGTACAGACTGGGAGAATTTATTTGCAAACCACAATATCGGACAAAATATTTTTTCTAAAATATATCAAGAACACTCAAAACAGTAAAACAAAACAAAAAACCCCCAAAACCGCACAGTCCAATTAGAAAATGACCAAAGATATGAGCAGGCATTTCACCAAAGAGGATGTACAGATGGGAAATACATAGGAGATATTCACCATCATTAGCCATTAAGGAAATGCACATTAAATCTACAATGAGATGTCTCTATACACTTAATGGCTAAGATGAAAAAGTAGAGACAACACCAAATGTTGGTAAGGATGCAGAGAAATCAGACCACTCATATATTACTTCTGGAAAGCAGCTTGTTATTTTCTTAAAAAACAAAAACTAATTATGACCCAGCAATTGCACTCCTGGACATTTGTAGAGAACTGAGAACTTACATTCACATAAAAACCTGTACACAGTATTTATAGCAATTTCTTCGTAATAGCCCCAAACTGGAAACAACCCTGATATTCTTTTATGGGTGAATGGTTAACCCAACTATGGTCCATCCATACCATGGAACAGCATTCACCGATAAAAGGCAATGCAACAACCCGTATGAATAGAGATCTAAGCTGACTGGAAAAAGCCAATCCCAAAAGGTTGCATATGCTAGAACATTTATAGAACGTTCTAGAAATGATAAAATGATTGAAATGGAGAACAGATCAGTGGTTGCCAGGGGTTAAGGAGGTGGGTGGGTGGAGCTGGAGGGAAGTGGGTGTGGTTATAAAAGAGCAACAGCAGGGATCCCTGTGGTGATGGAAATGCTGTGTATCTTGACTGTATCCATGTTAGTATCCTGATGGTAATATTGTGCTATGTAAGGGGGGTGGGAGGATGGGTTAGCCTGGTGATGGGTATTGAGGAGGGCACGTTCTGCATGGAGCACTGGGTGTTATGCACAAACAATGAATCATGGAACACTACATCTAAAACTAATGATGTAATGTATGGTGTTTAACATAACAATAAAAAAATTTAAAAAAAATATATTGTGCTATGGATAGCTTGCAAGTTATTTCCTTGGAGGAAAGTGGGTTCAAAGTTACAAGGGATCCCTCTATATTATTTCTTACAACTGCATGTAAATCTATAATTATCTCAAAATAAAAATTTTAGTAAATAAAAATGTGCATATGAAGCCAACAACCAGTGCA